TCATCGTTTTTTGCGCTTTTTTCGTTGTTATCGCTTTATTCTAGAGTAGTTCTATCAATTCCCGTCAAAAAAGGGTACCCTAAATTTATTGCTAACGGTGCCTTTAAGGTAGCTTGGGTGATTCCGAAAACCATTAACCGTCGGGATGATTCCAAATTGGTCACTGAACGTTAAACCATTTTGTTGAAATCACCGCCGATGCTCGCCATTCAAAACTTTACACGAGATCTATAATGACTCAGATCCCTACCACTTGACCCTGACTCATCGCCTTCAGGGTTCTGTTATATTTATAATTTATAATTAATTCGTTTCTTAGTGTAATGCAATATTTATTACTGGACCCTTTTGGGACTTCAGACATACTTCCTGTTATTTGTTTCTCCAGCAGCCACGCTATGATCTCAAGCCTGACCTTGGTACCCATGCCATTTTTGCAATTTTTCACAAAACATTTTTTTTTCTCGGGAGGAATCGAACTCTTCTGAGTGCAAACAAGTGCCTTCCCTCACAACTTCTTGCTATCGAGAGATCAGCGTCTGTGATGGTACGGGCACATTCAGAGAAGGCTACAGAACTATCCAGGGAGAGAGAAAATGGTATTCAAAGCTCGAGGGAGGTTTCCACGGGGAGCTTGTTCAAGAAGAAATTTGTCTAAATCGAGGTGACGGCAGCATGTGCCGTAAGTAGGCAAAAGTGGGGGTGGCTGACAAGATCAGCTGACCCTACGAAAGTACGAGATCGAGGCCAGGGAGAAGAAGAGGAAAAAAATGAATCTAGTCCAGAACAAACGTCAAAGCGCTCTCTTGAGGGCGTTTTGTATATTACAGTGCAGTGCTATAGATGAAATGGAGTATAGTCGCTGGCGCAATCTCAAAAAAATGTGTCAAAACAATCAAAATGAAACGTGTTTCCAGAGTGTTTCCAGCAGGATTCCCGAGTGAGGATAGGCACTGACGCGTGCCGAAGCCTGAGGAACTGGATTGCTGGGCATCAAATGATCAATACCTTGACATCCACCTTCCAATTTATTTTTGGAGTTTTTATTGGGAATCTGTGTTGATAAGTTGTCTACTGTGACATCACTACCATTAGCTGACTGACTGAAACTTTTCCAACCACTTACATCAGGTTCTCTTTCGAAGCAATTCAAAAAGGGTCTTGAGGTCAAATTAACCTAAAGCTTCAAGCAATATGCTTGCTAAACAGTTCAGACGACATACACTGGATCAGAACAGCCTTTTTATACTCGTCGTCATGGCGGAGGCTGCATGATCGCGACATAACTCACGCAGGAAGACTGAAAAATCCTCGGCCTCGTACTGGAATTGGAATAACTAGGGTCTTTGGAACGGGAAAAATTCTCCATTTTTTCTCAGTTTTTTTTCTGGCTATAATCCATATGCACTAAATCCACTAAAACGTAACACTTTTTTCTTGTTGTACATTGAAGGAGAAGTGTAGGACCTGTTGCACATCTCCCATGCAGATTCCCTAATTCAAAGGGGTGTCAGAACCAGTGGTCTTGACTTTCGAACCGTACCATCCGGTTATTTTACCTAATTAGCTTCTCAACACTGCGTAATTCTGCAAATGAGTTGACTATAACTATGATCGATTTGGTAAGAAAACTACGTACCGTAATAATTCTGATGGAGGGAAAACGAAGACCGGAATGTATTGACACTGACGCGTGCGGATGCGCCGCGGAAATGAATTAATGGAAATTGAGACGGATTGCTTATGTTTTACTTTCGCTAGCGATTTTTTTCTAAAGTTCTTCATATCGAGTTAGTATTGTAAGCATCACCTCTGTGACCTCACCACCATTCGCTGATTGAGAAAAATCTTTCAACCACTTTTATAAGGTTCTGCCTCGCAGCCACGAACCACAAAGGAGTTTTTGGGCCTATTCAAGTTGAAGTTTTCGAACAGCATGACGATAAAAAGCTCAGGCGACACGCACTTGATAAGATCAGCCTTTTTACAGTCGTCGTCATGGCGGAGACTATGTACGTGACCGCTACACAACATATGTATTCAGCCCTATCGATAGCAATCATCATCTTCTTATTGGTTGGACCCATTAAAGTAGGTGAGGTGAGAGAAATGTACATTGCACAGCGACGTGAATAAGTAAGATCCTTGAAACAGGAAAGATCTCCATATTATTGTGACTTTATTTTCATGCTGTACAGTAAAGGGAAAGCTGTATGACCGGTTGCACATCTCCCACGCATGATCCCGAACTCAAAATGGTGTCAGAACCAATGGAGTTGAGCTGGGAACTGTACCATTCAATTATTTTAGGGCTGAGTATCGTACCATTCAGTTATTTTACCTTATTGTTTTCTCAGCACTTCACAAATTCATCAGATACCAAAACTACGGTCGATTTGAATAACATTGAACTAACCGCGAATTTTCCATTTACGTTTTGTTCATTTTTCTGCCGTTGAAACACACCCAAAATGATCTGCCGGGTACCTATAATACTAAATCGATTTATATTCTTACAAATATTAGAGATAAATCACTCCTAGCATTCTCCTCCCCCTCCCCCCACAAACCTTTATTGGGTCATTTTTATTCCCTTCCCTACCTGCACTGAACTATTTAAGATAATCAAAGCTCAAGTAGGCTGAGGTGTTTATGCCCAGTGCTATAGTACTAGGTGAGTGGTCTACGGATCAAATCCCGGATTAACGCCTGCCCGGGCTAACCTAGCCTATCGTTGGCGGATTAGTATTTACCAGACTCGTCCATTGTACGGGCCACGCATTCATATGCTACTACGACCAATCCCGAAATGAGATTGAATAGCGCCAACTAACTTTATCCTTAC